TAACCTACTGTGATACTGTGAACTCATCCTGCTGGCAGTGACTTCTGCAGCTACACAAGTACCCGTCCCTGTCCCATGACACCCTCCCTGCCCAGCGCAGCAGCTTCCCCTCAACCACACGGAGGCCTTCCCAACCCCTTCCCTGCACCGCTCCCCTGATGGGCAGGGGAAGGAAAGGGCCGAGCTGAGCAGGGAACAATCCCAACAGCCTTTTCACAGTGGTTTATTCTGCAGAAGTCACCAAGCTCACGCTTCCTCCCGGGAGCATCCAGAGCACGGCACAGCCTGACCCCAGTGCCACCGGCTGCCACCCGGCAGCACCACCAAGACGCAAGGGCTGGTTTTGGCTGGAGAAGTCAGTGCTCCTCTGAGGAGGAAGCCCTTGAAAACACCATCCAAGAGGCTACAGCCAAGCAGGTGAGAAGGCGGTGGCACTTCATGGGGGTCACATTGCATTTGCCCTGCCTAAAGAGCTTTGCCCATGGTGCATGCACGATGTAGGGCACTGCAGCTGGGCCTGGTGGGAGAAGGGGAAGCCTCGGTGTAGAGCTTCAAGGGACACCAGCTTCCCACTCATTCCCTGGGGAAACTGAGGCACGCAATGCTCCTTACAAGGTGGGGAAGCAAGCGAAACCCAGAGCCGGTGCTGCACCTCCAACCCCAGCATCCTGCTCCAGGATGCCCCAAGGTGGGACATTTGTAGGATTGATTTAGCACCATCACACTGCCCCCAGACTGAGGCATGGCAGGGGAAAGGGGGCACATGGCTCAGGAGAGCCTGGACTTGTCAACCTCACCCATGCTGGAGAGAGCAACGCAGCAGTGAGCTTTCACCATCATTGCTCAGGTTTTTGGTGGTGAGATCGCCCAACACCACTGGGAAGGCTGGGAGCAGCCACGCTTGGGGGGAAGCTATCTTGGAGCACAGCCAGGTTTTCCTCCATCCAGCCCTAACACAGCAGGCTCAGGGCCAGTCGAAACAGGGTCAGGGGAGCGAGAGCACAGCAGGTTAACCATGGGATGGGACCAGGAAACTCGGAACCAGCCCCCAACACTTGCATTACGGGGACGGAAGCGCAGCACAGCCCCAGTCACAAGTGCCCCCCTGGCACTGGTGGCAGAGGCGCTGACCCACTGCACACCCAGAGCCACCGCGGTGCCCTCCTGGCGTTGGGGCCAACATCTGCTTGGACACGTTCCCCATCGCAAGGTGAGGGCAGGCTCGCTACGCGCACCCCCCATTCCTTGTATTTTTGCCTTAAAAGCCCAAATCCCTCCAGATGATCCCGCACACCAGGCTATGGGGACATCGGATGCTGCCCCTCCACTGACACCCCCTGGAGCCAAGGGCTTGGGCAGATTTCTTTAAGGTCTAAACTAACACCCACTGTGTGGGCCCGCCAGCCCCCAGCCCTCCCAGCACCTCCCTGCTCTGCAGCCAGATCCATAGCCCGAAGGGAAGCCAGTGCAAGACGCAGATTTGCAGGTCCTGGCTCCTGGCCCGGGTTCAAACCACATTTGTTCCTGAAATCCGTTTCAGGGCTCTATTTTCAAAGCACGTGTGTGCAGAGGCATGTGCAGAGCAGCACCGGCTCCGCTGCAGCCAGCGCCCGAGTCGCCTGTGCCAACACGGGGCCAAGGCGGGGGCCTGGGTCAGACAATTCATGGTACTATTTTTTCCCTCCTAAGCACGCTCTATACTGGCCTAGCTCACAGCTTCTGCCCATTTAAAAGCCCAAGGACCAAAGGCATGGCTGTTCCTGTGAGCCCTGCCTGACACACTGCACATTCTTTTGCTCCCCAGGGGAGTTTGTCCTCACCACCCGCAGCTACAGGCAGTTGAAAAGAGGAATTTGGACTGGATCCACGCTCCTGTCCCAGGGACAGCCATGCAGGGGTGGTTATTTCCATGCAGGGATGCTTATTCCCATGCAGGGATGCTTATTCCCATGCAGGGGTCTGAGCTGCTCTCCAGGCATCACGTTGAAGGGATGGGAGCAGCACAGGGATGCTGGTCTATGGGGATGGAGGCTGGACATGGCTCGAGGGCGAGATGTGGAGTGCTGCGGAAGTGAGCTCAGATGGGAAATTGTTCCGTGAGATAAAGGAACAAGTTGGAAACTGAGCTGCAAAATAGACAGTACAGGAAACAATAACACTTCAGATTAGGCTTTCCAGTTTCCCCCAGTGATGCCAGGAGCTCGGCGCTTTGTCCAGTGATGCTCGGGGGTTCCCCCCTTAGAGGCACTGGCAGGAAGCTCAGACTGTTTGCTCACTCCTACCTGCTCTCTTTCACGACGTTGCAGGCATTTGCTGGCTGTTGAAACGAGAGCTTACAGACCAAGTCCTTCAGGTCTCGTTAGATGAAGAGTTTTAGCTCTGCAATGACTTCAAAGGCCAGGCGTGATCCTGGCACTAGCAGCAGGGAGAGGCAGGCGGGATGTCGGAGGCACGGGAGCCCCGTGGTCCATCCCCTCCTCGCCTCGGTGAGCCTGCAATGCTGCTTCCCACGCTGTTAAAGGCCTCCATCCTCCCTGGACCAGTGATGTCCCCTCCGTGCCACCGAGGCAGCAAAGGAGCCTCTTGGCTCTGCAGCAGAGCCCTCACACAGGTCAGCCACCACAAACCACAGCTCTTCTCTTCGTTTGGTCCCCCAGGGACGCCCCTTTCTGCCTCCCCGTGGTACCCCCATGATTTTCCATCACTCTGGCACAAAGTCATTAAATGGGCAGAGCCATCGCTAGGGCATCTCCATCAACACAGGGAGCACTGCAAGGCCACTAACGATCGAGACAGGGAACACTGGACCTCCCTTAGCCGCTGCTGTGCCAGCCTGTAAATAACCCATCTCCCATGTGAACACATACAAACACAGGGCTGTGTTTCGGCAGAGCCCCCGAGGTGAGGTGTTTGGAGGAGCCTCTGCCCTGCTGCTCCCAGGTCAAAGCGTGGAACCAGGAACCGACCCTCGATCCCTCAAGCAAAGTGCCTTTCTCCGACAAACCAGCACTAACTGGCTAATGATTACAGACACGGCTCCCTGCGGAGCCACACTGGAGGCTCCTCTCCGAGACACCAAGGGCCAAGGTTTTGCTATGGGCCAGATCCTGAGCCAGCACAAAGTGGTGCAGCACAGTTGGCTCAGCACAGGGCAGCCCAGGATCAGCCCCTCTGGCTGGGAAGGTGTCAGGAGGAGCCCCACAGTGGAAAGAACAGGCAGGATATTGCTTATTGCTCGAAGCGCAACACTGCGGATGTGCCCCTGCATGTCCCCATCCTCACAGCTCCCCGGAGAGCCCTGCCAATGCCCACCCTTGTCCGACCAGCACGGAGGGGTCTGGGTGTGTTTGAGGTGCTGGGTGCTGAGGGGGTCTCCCATGGCAGGGATGAATAGCTCCCCACTGTTAATGGCTGGACTCGGTTCTCCCACAGCACACTGGTCACTGCGGGCAGTGGGTATCTCCTGGCTGAGAGCAGAGGGACAAAGCTCTGCAGCTCCCTCCTGCCATCACCCTCCTCCTCTGGGCAGCACCAGCCAAGTGGGAGGAAGGAAACTCAAGTGTTCATTGCCACCTTCCCAGAGCTCAGGTCATGCACAGCACTGCTGGGTATGTGCTGTCCTGTCCTGTCCTGGAGCACGGGCTTGCCCCAGGAACCCTCTGGGATCTGCACTCTTATCGCTGCTCCCAGCTCCTAGTGCCATGGGGCAGTGGGGGCACTGAACAGCCACTTTATGTCCCTTCCTTTGCATGGCTCCTGGGGAGCCAGGAGGCTGAGCAAGCCAACGGCACACAGGGCAGCACAACCCACTCCTTGCCAGCTACGACCTTTACTGCTGTTGCACAGCACTGGGACCAGGATGGGGATTGGGACCTCCCGGCTCCGAGTCCTGGCACGCACAGCAGCCACTGGGGAAGCAGTGCCCTGTGCAGGGCCAGCAGAACGCGGGGAGCTGCAGCAGATCCCCACTCCTTCCCAGCAGGCTCGCAGGAGGCTGCACAGCTCCTCCAGACGATGCTCAGCACCAGACAGGACCACACCAGGGTCAGCGCCACGAGATACCACCCCACTCCAGACCCTGGAGCAGTGGGTCCAGCCCCACAGGCTGCCCCCCATGCCCGACCCAACGGCCCCAGGAGGCAGCACAGCCTGCCTGAGCTCCTGCAGAGCTCTCGCACAGCGAGGCAGGATGAAAGCCCACCTCGGCCCCATGATGTTCTTCCGTGGTACCAGGGACTGTGCCAGGGACAGTGGGGACACGCCAGTGCCACCACTCACAGCCACACATGAGGGTTGTTGGATCGCCTAGGCTGTTATGAGGGAACTTCCCGGCTGGATAAAGCCTTTAATCAGGCAAAGCAGAGCTCTGCAACCCCCCAGTTCCAGTGAGGGGCAGAGCAAGGATCCCGGCCGGGCACAGCTCTCCCGGCCCACCGGGGCTGGACACGAGCCCCGGAGCTACCGGTGAGCAAACACGAAAAGGGAAGCGGATCAGGAGACATCAAAGCAGGGGGGCGATGAATATTTCATGTCCTGGCCTACATACAGCCCGGCTGTCCCCGCCCTGCGCTCCCGGGGGTCCCCCACAGCCCCCGATCACAACAAAGGGGAGTTGCGGGCAGGCGGGGCCGCCCCGCCGGACCCTCAGCATCCCCGGCCGGGCCCGTGTGCTCCCCGCTGTACAGCGGCACCCGCCGCCAGACCCATCGCTGAGCCAGCCCGGAGCATGTGCACCCGCCGCTGGACCCACCGAAACCCAGAGCCAGACCGCGAGCATCCCCGCCGGGACCCACAGCCGGGCTCAGCGGACTGCGGGCACCTCCCGCTGCCGGACCCACGAGCCTCCCGCCGGAGTCTGGGCATCCCCGGCTGGACCCGCAGCCCCCTCGCCGAACCACCGGCATCCGCGGTCGGACCCACAGCCGGCTTGTGGGCATCCCCCCTCCAGCCCCACACCCGGACCCGGTGCATCCCCCCCATCCCTTCCGCCGCCCGCTCACCTCCCGCCTGTGCGCGCAGCGGGGCCGACCCCTCCGCTCGCCTCCAGCGCTCGGCCCCGGCTTTGTCTCGGCGCCGGGGGCGCGGCCGCCGCCCCCCGCCGCTGCCGCCGAGCTGGGAGCCCGCCCCGGGCCGGGCCGCGCAGCGCAGCGCCGGGCGCTCAGGGCAGCGCCGGCGGCAGCAGCATCGCGCAGCGCCTCGGACCCGGCGCGCCGCTGCCTCACCCCTTGCACCGGGGCGGGGGGGACCCACGGGCAGGGGAGGGGAAAAATAAAGAGGAATATGGCAGCAAACCGGAAACGGCGGAGGGGGGGGGGAGCGCAGCCCCTCCCCTGCGCGGGTTTGTTTTTAAGGGAGAAGGCTCCGGGCTGCGCGGGACGCGCAGGAGCCGCCTGCTCACAATGGGGGGGGGGGACACGCGTGGGAGCGGCGGTCCCGGTTCTCCGATGGTGGGGGGCTGGAGGGGACTCGGGGCTCCCCGCGGCGGTGGGGTTGGGAGCAGCGCTGCGCGCCCCGCGCTGTTGTGTTTACCTGGAAGGCAGAGCTGTGGCGGGGGAAGGGATCTTCGGGAGGTTAAACCCCGGCTGCTCTGGGGCTGGCGTTACTGAAGAGGTCTGGCACGCTGCGAGCGGCAGGGAGGAACGCTGCGCCTCCGTCTGAGCATCGCCATCCCCACAGGGACACCTCGCTGCGGTCCCGGGGGCTGCAAGGAACGGAGCCGCGTCTCTGAAGTCAGGAGGAGGCAAAACTTCAGGTTTGAGGAAGAGAGCACGTCCGGGGCCTCCCTGGAGCACCCCGAATTGCCACGGGGCCTTTCGGAGGCAGCAGCGTGTCCCGCTGGGGCACCTGCCCCGGCTTTGGGTTAAAGCATCCCCCAGGTCACCCCTGCAGCCGGTGCCAGCCTCTGAAATGAGGCAGAATGGAGCTGCGGGTGTCCCTGGGGTGCTCGGTCCCTGGCTGACAGCATCCCCCTGTGCAGGACTGGGTGAGGTGTGTGTGTCCCCCCACACACACAAACCCTGCTCGGGCAGGTGGGGACTTGGAGGCAGTTCCAGCCATCCCTCCCCTTGCTTCTCAACACCCTCCTCTTCCAGCACTGGGAGGAGGTGGAAGGTGCTCAGCTCTCCCCGGGCACAGAGCAGTGTTGGGGTGCACAGAGCAGTGCTAGGATGCATAGAACAGTGCTGGGGTGCACAGAGTGTCGGGGTTCACAGACCAGTGCTGGGGCACACAGAGCAGTGTTGGGGTGCACAGAGCTGTGCTAGGATGCATAGAACAGTGCTGGGGTGCACAGTGTTGGGGCGCACAGACCAGTGCTGGCGCACACAGAGCAGTGTTGGGGTGCACACATGGGCTCAGGGCTCACCTGGGTGTCCCAGCACCTGCATTGAGCCCACTGGGGCTGCATGCCCAGCTCAGTGGCACTGGCAGCCCTCCCACCTTCCCCGGTAGTGATCCACCGAGGTGTTCCCTGTCACTGCATCCCTCAGGAAGAAACGGGATGAAGAGTCTGCTCCTCAAACCCCTATTAACCAGTTTCTGAGGCACACTCGGCCGCTGGCCGGCACCAGTGACCCTTGGGCTGTATTCCCACAGCCAGCACAGCCTCCGTCATCCCCTGACCAACCGCTGGAGATGCTCCACAGGGATGTCTTTAAAACCCCATTACTCTGAGGGGGATCTGATGCTTCAGCACCCATTGGGGAAGTTAATAAGGCGCAGGGAACTACGTGGTGGAGTTTTTCTTTCAGTTTCCCACCCCCTCCTTGAGTTATTAACAAAATATTTCCCATGACACTGGCGAAGGCCAACGAATCCATGAGTCACCCGGAACAAGGAGTCACGCACACACTGAGCCATCAGCCCTGGCCAGCACATTGCGGAGGGGCCCTTCCCTGGGAGGAGCTGCTGATAAGAGCCCTACAGCCGCGCTGAGCCGGCCAACCCCAATGGTTTCACACTTTCCTTCCAGCCTCTCGGCTCCTTCCCAGGCCTGGCAGAGGGAGTCCAAGCTCCCTTGGGGGTAGCAGCCCTGCTTGCTCCTTGCCAGAGCATCAAACCACGGCCTGGTTTGTACTGAGGCTTTTTGGGGGTGTTAATTCACAGGCACCCCCTCTGCTATCCAGCTGGTATGGGGATGTGTAGGGAGGGATTCCTAGTGACCAACATGGGATTAAGGAATTAACCACTCCGTGTGGGTGCTGCTCTGCTCACTCATACTTTCAACATCCTGTAGGGCAAAAAGGGGGCAGGGTTGGGGTCCCCCCATGCCTCCTCCTGCTGTGCCTGCACAGGGATACAGGATGCTCCCCTCACTCCTGACCCAGCAGCACCCGTCCCGCAGCGAGGAGGCACTGCCAGAGGAGAGCGTGCCCCAGGGGAGCAGGGGCCTGGCCCCAGCCCTGGGGGAGCAGGTTGGGATGACTCAGCCTCCCCTGGCTGCAGACCCAGGTCTAGAATACAATTATGACTTGTAGATGTTTGAGTTTTGTTTCCCTTTGCTGCAATCGGCTCCCTTCCTACGGGCTGCTCTGCACTCGCACTGCTCCTCCCCGGCGGAGCTGGCCTGCTGCTGGAAGGCAGACAGCAAAGGCCCTCTGCCTGCAACACACCGGACCTCATCCACCACATAACCTCTTCCTCGATGAAGATGCCAATGAGTAAAATGGCAAACAGAGAGTCTCTAACCCCAGCCTCTTATCTTTTGGGCTCGGATCCAGGAATGTGCCCTCACAGGACTCTGACATGAAACATGCAGTGCTGGCGATAATGCGATTTAAGACCATGTGAGTTTAAGCAACCCAGTGCCCCTGGGTGCAGTGACAACACTCCCCAGCCGCCCGCTTTCCCTCCTGCCCCACTCGATTTACCTTTAAACAGCCTAATCCACAATGATTCTTTTTTTACCCAACCAGGGATTTCAGTGCCTTATTTCAGAAACTTACTTGCTTGAGATGATTCTTCCTCTTCACTCCTAAATAGCACCGATACAACCCCACGGCGGGGAGAGGAAGAGGCTGCAGGAACTGAAAGCCAGGTACTTTCAAATGAAAACCAAACTATTTCTGGTGGCTCAGTTATGATAGCCCGTCTTGAAATGATATTCTAAGAAGAAATCAAGATGGACTAAGGGATTTCTGTGCTTTCCTGCTGACTTCTACACAAACTCCATTAGGGCAAAGAAGACTGAGGGTTAGTACAGGCAATGCACTGTCACGTCAGGAGTAAGTACGTGACGCCTTCCTCCCGCGGGTGAGCAGATCAAACTGCTCCACAGGGCTCCTGAGGAGCTTTCTGGATCCAGTCATTGATCTGAGCCCCGACCTCTCCAACGTAGCTGTGGATTTACAACAAAACATCTATTCATCTCCAGCCAGATTTATTTTTAAGCATCCCCTTGGCAAGCGTGACTACGTTTTGTGCAGTGGGTTCAGCTCCTGGGGAGAGCTGCACTGGGCTCACTGCAGATTCCAAATGTATCTGCACAGATTATTACTATTAATAATTTAATGGGTGTGTTTGAGATGCTGGATAGAAGCAGCCCCAGCTCTTACCCTGAGATTTTACAATCATTGAGCTTTACAGCCCTGCAAACAGTGAGGGTGTGATGGCAAACCATCGGCACCAGCGGCCCCCTTAGAGAAGCTGCTGTTACAAGCTCAGGAGCTATTTTCTAAGGGGGATTGACCAGAGTAACTCCTCCACTATGAGCCATTTGGCAATATTTCACGGTAGAAATGCTCATTCTGGCCATTCTCTCACACTGAGCATCAGGGCTGCTGGAGCCAAGTGCTAAACACCAGAGTGTAGAATACAAAGGCCGTGGAATACAAAGGGGCAGCTGAGGTATCACTGTGGGGGCTCAGGACAATCTGCCATGCAAGAGGGGCCCTTCACCTCAGCACAGAGATGGCCCCAGCCAGGAAGTGTCACTGCAAACTCCCTGGGGAAAAGGACTGGGGAAAACCACTGGCTGGTGATGTGTAAATGTTTGATAAGGAGGCACCAAGTTCAGCAGCTGGGGGGGGGGGGGAATTATCCACATGTGCAATAGAGGCAAAACATTTCCCACCAGGTTTCTGACTGATAAAATAGGATGTTTCCATATCATCTGAAATAGTTATCTCGGAATAGCCCATTTGGGCAAAAATCCAACACTTTCTGCTTGTTGCCTCAGAAAAGCCACACACAAAATATCACCATTTCCCAGCGGTGGAAATTCTGCTTTTTGGCCAGTCTTAGTATCAATAGAAAAGAGTAGCTCAGAAAAGCCCACAGAAACTCATCCGGATGAGACTTACAGCCCTCGTTCCAGCGTGCTTTGCCAACAGAGGGATCTGGCTGGCACAAAGCTCTGGTAGCCACATCCAGGCTGCTCTGCCCGCAGCATTCCCTGGAAGCCAAGGTGTCCCAGGCAGCCACCCCAGCAGCATCCTGCTGCTCACCGGCCCATGAGCGGCTGCAGCCTGTGCTGAGCGGAGCTGTGGCAGACACAAGGGTGTTTCCTCTTCATCATCCAGTCTTGGTCCTTCCAGAGAGGGATGGGCGAGGGAAGCCAGAGTCTGAATGTGAGAAATTTAAACCATATGATGTTTGGGTCTGTGCTCAGTTTGAAGTGAGCTGAATAAAGAGGAGCAGAAATGGTTGTGGCTTCTCTTAAAACCTGCTCCCCCTCCTGTTCCCTTCACTGCAGAGGCCTGAACCCATGGGGACATCAGTTTCAGTCACCCAAAGGAGCCACCGCAGCATCACAAGTAGCTGGCTCCCTGGGGACCACAGCCATGAGGACCCTCCTCTCCCGTGCAGACCCAGCAGCCATGTGCCAGCCATTCCCTGCAGCGAGGGCCCTTCATGTGCAAGAGCTGCCCTCAGGAGCCAGGGGGACACAGCCCCACACCAGTTCCTGCCTGCACTGCCAGAGCCAAGGCACTAATACCATCAGGAAGCGTCTGGAGCAGGATTCCTGAGGGAGGGAGCAGCTTTGCTCTGCGAGAGCTCACCAGTGCCTGTCGTACTGCAGACTTTGGCTTTTGGCAAGGTGAATTCACAAGCTTGGGATGGCTTCTGAAGCAGCAGCAGCCAAAGGGAAGGCAGCT